CCTCCCGGCGCGGAGAGGTGCGCTGGGTTAGCGCTGCCTCAGCCGGTCGCCTGCCTTGGTGGGTATGACCTGGAGAGGGGAGCGCTGCTCGGCCTCAGGGAAGACGTGACGGTTTCTGCCGTGAGGAAAGCGGAAGGCCGGGCGTGCGCGTCGAAAGTTTGTCTGTCTGCGGAGGAGCAACGTCCTTCAGGGCAGGTTGCGAAATGCGTTTTCCCTGCGTTTTATTTTTGGGTGGGAACAAGTACTGCCCGTGAGCTGCTGTTTACTGATGCTCCGGTACTTGAAAAGTGGGTACGGGCACTTTTTCCAGCTGCTGGTGATACAACCCCTTCAGTGCTTCTCGGGAAGCTTTGTCGTAATGTAGCTAAAACCGTCTCTGCCCTGCTGGTTCTCCACTTTAATTCCTGGCCTCTCCCCTAGCCCTGCCAGGCCTGAAAGACTGTTCAATTTTACGTTGCAGATGTAAGCACTGAGCATTTTGGAGAACTGTAGCTCTTGATCATGCAGGTGGAAACAACTCTGTTGTATAATCAGTCATCAAATAAGTAGAGAAGTACACAGTGAAGGACAAGATACTCAGCAGTAAGCTAGCTTCAGATCACAAGCTGGCAGTGATGTGTTTTAACCACATGCAAATATTCTTTCTGTTAGGGATCTGATTTTATTATTTCAATATAGCTTCAGGTTGGTGTAACCAAGGGTGTGATGAGGTTGATTCGGTGTCTTGCTCAATATCTGTAGACTTAGTAGTGGTATTTAGTGGCTTCTGTGCAACCATTGTGCATTTTTCACCTGTGTAAGTTGTCTCATTCTGTTGGATTTATGTCTTGCAAAGTTACACTAAAGTTCCGTATCGCACTGTCTTTACTTCTCACCTGTGAGGAGGGATTTCTTTGAAGCCTATGTTTGTCATCGTTGGAGTAATCATTCCACATATTCCATTATCCTGCCCAAGCAATTCTCTTCCGCTAACTTGCTAGGAGCTCTGTAGTTGGCCTTTTACTTCGTGAGTACTAGGTGTCTTTGAAACGTATGAAAACTATAGTGTTATTATCATGGTCGTATATGCATGCAGGTGTGAAAGGATAGGAAGACCTGTATCTTTTTTTTTAATCTGGTTGTTAGTGTAGGGTGAGCTAAGTTTATTTATGTGAAGTATATATAGGCAAAAGTTATAGTTTCCCATAATAATGCTGATAAGCTCTGTGCTAATCAGCAACAGCGTATGCGCATGGTCTGATAGCTATGTGCAGTATTACTTTCTTAGAGTACATGTTTCAGTATATCTGGAAGAAATTGTTGAATGCTCTTCAGAAAAAAACCCCATTTTTTGTGTAAATAATTACTCTTATACACTTCTGTACAGTGTATGGAAAATCTCTTTCATTTGTTGCATGTGGGTGATATTCTTGCTAAGTGCAAAAATGCATCCCGGCAGTCTGGGTGCACTTCAAGCTACACATGACAAGGAGTGTAGTCTAGACAAAATTTTCTGTTATACAAAAGGTAGGCCACAGAGCAGCACAGTTATGGACACTCTTATTTAATAGGAAAGCTCTGAATCATAACTGCAGCCAAGATTTTTGGTATTCAGACAGGTGACTCTCAGCAGTCCAAGATTAGGTATTGACTCTTGTGTCAGATTATATGTGAAGATATTGGTGTTCAAGCCTGTTGTGATCAGGAGGAGTGAGAGCAAACTCAGCAGATATTGTTAAAGCAGAATTCATTATGTATGATTTAGCCTAGATAGGTTTGGCTTTCTGGATATTGCTTGAGGAATCACTGTCAATGTAAGATGAAACAAGAGTAGTGACAGACTATAATCTAGTATTTTGGGGGTACTTTATGTTGTGGGTTTTTTTTGGACAGTGCAAATAAGCTCTGGCCTGTCACCAACTTTGTTATCAACTGCTCTAAGCAGTTCAGAGCCCACTGGTGCAATTACTAAGCACGTGGGAAAGCTGGGGTGCTGAACTGGCTTCTGCAAGAGCTCAACCTTAAGGATGAAGCATGGGAAATGCCAATAGACAACAAACAGACCCATCTGAATGGAGTTCCTATGGTTAGGAAGTGCTATTCACTTCCTGCTAGCCTGTAACTTTGGTAGATCCCCAGAGGAGGGCTGCATGTGAACCAGCTTAGGGTAACTTGCTAATGGTGCTCTATCAAAGTATCAGAAACATATTTGGGCACCTGATGACTTCAGATGAAACTGCTGAAGATTGTAGCTAAGTTTGGCTGTTGACCAGCAGTTAGCAACTTGCAAGCTGATGATCAGTAGTTAGCTTAGTGTGGCTGTGGCACACATGCCAAAGAACAGCAGTGACATTGAAGAGATCATAAATACTAACTCTGAATTGCGCATCCATCTTGTCACTGGAAGCAGTTGGCATGCTGGCTCTACAAGCAGTTGGTGAACTGCTTCAGTCCTTTAGAGGCTTAATTTATAAAAGACCATTTTCGTTATGTTTACATCTTAAAATCAGGCAAGACAGTTGTGCTTGAAATCACACAGGCAACATTAATTAAGCATGGGTTTTGCAGCACTGGTTTGAAAGTTCGCATTTGTTCTTTGTGTCATATGTAGACAACTTACCATTATGATATAGCACCTGTTTTGTCAATCTGTACTTGGGGCATGTCACAGGCAAATACATACATCCTTTGAGCATATATCTGTAGTGCACTTTTTCCCTGCAAAGAACAGTTGTATGCTAGACCTTAACGGTAGTTAATGGCTACATATAAATGGAGCAGTACTCCTATTTACCTTTCTGCTGCTGTGGATGTTTTGTGTGATGTAATGTAGTGACGGGTGCTGAGAGTGAGTATGCAATACTTGGTTCTCTGATGCTTGTTGGTGAAAATTTATCCTGATAACAAGTACTGGCTGTATTGGGATTAGTTTTAAGCTTGGGCAAGCTAGGCAGGTGTGCTAGGTAGCAAACTGCTAAGCTTGACAAAAATCAAGGCCATAAAGCACATAAGAGACCCTCTGGCCATGGCTCTGTGGTTGCCCTATGCAGAGCAGCGTCTCAGAGCACCATCTTTGTGGAGCAGCTCTCTAGTTACTGTTCTGCTTCCTACATACTCAGCCTGCTACATGACTGCCGCCTCTCTTCTACTGCTGCTGGGAAGGTGAGCGCTGCCACAAAAGCATGGGGGTTTTTCCATGCCAATAATGAGGTCAAAATAAGGCTTTTATCCTCATTTTTATGAGTGACAAATTTCAGTTCTCCATATGCTTCTGAGACTGTGTCAACTCTGACTATTTGTTACAACCCTGCTAAATATTACATATTTTTCATAAGTTTAGTGAATGGGTAGACAGCTTATGCAACTGAAGGTGTTTTTTCTTAATAGATTTGTGCAGTATGGAAAAAGCCTTAATGCGTATAACGTACTGTGCTTCTGAGTTGGAGGCCTACGCTCTCTCCTGGTAGTAGACTTTCATTAATATCCGGTGTTTTGTGTACATACAAAAATTCAAAAAGCAAAGTTTGAGGAGCTAGGAAACTTTAAATTTGTAGACTTTCCAGATTTGGTAGCTTTATGTGAGTAATACTAAAGACTTTCTAAGCCAAAATTTTATGCATTTTATTTTGAAAAGCATTTACTTCTTTTTCTTTTTTTTTTAAATTTTCATTATTTTCAGATTAAATGCAAATAACTTGTAAGTAGCACTTCTCTCTCTCCCCCCCCCCCAACCTTAAATCTACAGCTTTGAAAATAAAAGGCAGTTTGTGGTTTGTGAGCTTTACCTAACTGATTTCAGCGCGTGCTTGAAAAATTTTACTTAAAATCTCTTAATTCCATGCCTTACTATACAGGCAGGCCTAAAATTTGGCCTTACAGAACCTCAGAAGTTTGTGTTGTTTTTTTGGGTTTTTTATAGTGTTATAGGTTGTCCCATGTGTGAGAAATTGAACGTGATCTCATTTATAACTTGAAACTTGTTCTTTCCAGCAGAATTTCCCTGCAGCCACTGAGTCTTTTTGCAGATGTAGGGGCTTGCTTTCGTGCAACTCATGGCTGCTGTAGGCTCTCTGTTTATGGAAAAAGTAATTTTCTAGACAGCAAACATTAACTCTGTCTCAAATTCTTCTCCTTGCAGGAAGCTGCACAAGCCTTGATTTATGCTGGGATGGCAGGGTCCAACTTGGAAAATATTCAAGAAAAAATAAATGAGTACTTGGAGAGAGTTCAAGCTCTCCATTCAGCAGGTGGGTAAGGAGCTTTCTAATTAAACCTCTGCTTTAATTAATTGAGTGGAAAGCCTTTCAGTGCTGTGAAATATGTATCAATGATGTTTGCTCTGTTTTTCATTACTCTAATTTTCTTGTCCTCTGTGAAGGACCACAATGAGCACATCAGTGCTTTGAATTCCGATACATCAGAAATGAAGCGGACACTTACTTCCTAAGGACTTGGGTGTGGGTATTCTTTCTTTGTAAATATTCTTAGGAACCACATCTGCAGAGCAAACCTGAGAAAGTAATTTAAATATAGCAACAAAAATTGATCAGGAACAAATAAAAACTTGCATCTAAGCCTCAGCTGCATGATGGATTTGAAGCAAGTGGGTTCTGGTATTTATGTAGAATTACTAATTTTGAGAGGGCAAAAGACCTCTTTGCTCTCATAAGGGTTTCCTTGTTTGATCCAGTTTCAGCGTCTGTGCTTAGACCAAAATCAAGTTTTTTGCACACCTGCAATTCTCAGAATCATAGAATCACTTTGCAAGAAAGGGATGTGGGGAGGTTTATATACCAATCTCCTGCTCAAAGCAGGGTAGACATTGATTTTTTGGAGCAGGTTGCTGAGGTCCAGTCAGGTCCTGAAAAACACCTAAGGATGGAAATTCCCTGGTGCCTCTGTGCCCCTATTCCAGGGTGCAGTTGTCTTTCTAGTGATTTATTTTTATATATATAATCTAGTTGGATTCTCCCCTGTTTCAGTTCATAGTCACTGGCGCTCATTCACTTTTTTTTGCACCACAGTGAAGAGCCTGAATCCATTTGCTTGATCACTGCAGAGTTACTAGCAGGTTGTTATTAGGTCCCCCCAAAGCCATCTCTCCTCCTGGCTGGAGAAGCCATGCTCCCTCAGCTTCTTCTGAAAGGGCCAACTCCTCCAGCCCCAACCATCGTTAGGGACCTGAGATTGGATGCAGTATTCCAGATAGAGTCCACTGAGTGCTGAGCAGAGGGTAGTAATTGCTTCCCCCCATCTCCTGGCTGTGCTGCTGCTGACACAGCCCAGGGTGCTGTTAGTCTTCATCGCTGCCAGGGGCCTGCTGGCTTGGGCTTACCCAGCTGTGCCCCAGGACCCCAGGCCCTTCTCAGCAGAGCTGTACGCTGCAGGGTGTTAGCCTGTCTCAGGCACAGGGCATAGCATTTGTCCTGATGGAATTTCCTGAGGTTCCTGTCAACCCGTTACTTTTGCTTGTCTGTGTCCCTTTGAATAGCAGCTGTGTCCTTGAGTGAATCGGTTTTGTGGGGTCCGCAACCTTGATGAAGGTGAACTCCATCTTCTCTGTCATGTCACCTAAGGAACTTGTATATTACCATAGGTGATGTGTTTTCACAACTGATGCAATATTTTACATAATTAAACATCCTTGTCCTTAGTGTAGTATGGAAGAGATTTTATTTGCATTATTTGACATGTGAAATGTCCTGAGAGTGTATCTCTGCTGGCGGGATGTGGGGGTGTGGGGTGTGTTTTCTTGTGCTTGCAAAGATGTTTTTAGCAAAGTTTAGAAAGACGTGGTTTCCAGCCAAGAAACAGATATTACCCATCCAGTTAGAACTGCTAGTGTTTCAGTACCACGTTAAGGATGTTTTTACATGTCTGCTGCTGTAGAAAGCTAAATAGTTTCTTTTTCATTTAGTTCAGTCACAGAACACAGACCCTCTGAAGTCAAAACAACAGTTGGACTTGGAGCGTGCTCACTTCCTAGTTACACAGGCTTTTGATGAAGATGATAAAGGCAATGCAGAAGAAGCTATAGAGTTGTACACAGAAGCGGTGGAACTCTGTTTGAAAACAGTATGTTAAGCTACAGGTTAACTTGGTGGAATTATGTGATGGTAAGAAATTCTTCCACTTACACAAGTGACTGATCCTTAAAGGCTGGCTTAGAAATGGAGTACCTGTATTTCTAAAAACTATTTTTAAATTTTTTAGTGTTTCTTCCAGTCTTTATGTTGCTATTCAACACTATAAATTTATGGGGGGCTTGTGATTTATGTACTTTTCTTGAACTGGATTATATTATATATAATCTAGACTATAAATAAACTAGAAATATTCTGGAAACTTTTTCATGTTAATTTTTGCCCTGGAGCAAATACAACACTAAAACAGAAATTAAAACCAGTTAAAACTGAATATAGCTGACACATTAGCAAGTCATCTTACTTTCTGGCTACATAAAAAGAAATAATTTAAGGGAAATTTTTGTGTAACACTTTCTGAAAACAATGGTTTACTGATGCCAAAACTAGTAAAAATACTACTCAATTACTCAGTTCTCAACATTAAAGCTGTTATGAGTTAATTCAGTTCACACTGAAATTAAAGGTAAGGATGAATTGGCCATTACGTAAATAATGGAGAATATAATTACAGGTACTGCTTTTACCCTGAAGTCCAGTTGCCTTAACTAACTCATTACAGGAAGAACTCACCATCATAATGTAACTCCACCAAGTCTTGTTTTTCTTTTACCCTTCTTTTCCCTTTTTATAATGTAAATATATGTGGGTTGTTGGGAGGGCAGTGTTACTTTTGCTACATGCTAGAGTAAAATCTTCTTTTCTCTGAATTCTGTCAACTGGTTTTATGTAGGCTAAAAAACCCTGGTGATGCAGTGTAACCAGATCAAGAGTTAGTAGAACTGCTGTAGTTTTTCCACTTGAGCTGTTGGAGCAGAACATTTTCAGTCTGTTACATAAAACTTACTGCGGTAGCACACCATCTTTCCTCTGCTGTGTTCCTCCTTTTGTTGTGTCAGTGCATGCAAATATTACCTACATATATTGAAGTTAGTCTGAAATTCTCTAATATTAACTACCTTTATCAGGCATTTCATTAGGTACAGATACTGGTGAAGTTTCTTTTAATCTTGACTAGCGTATTATTTTGTGAAGATGACTGTAGGCTTTATCCCTCAGGACAATCAAAAAGTACCTTCTTCCCAGGATGAAAGAAGATTGAAGGAACTCTGCTGTCTTGAAGCTTTGCTTCTGTCTTTCTCCTCAGTACATTCAGGTGGAGAGATTTCTTTCTTCCTTACCCTTGAAGTACTCAGAGAGCAGCCATTCCTTCTCTTCTACGGCTGACTCCTAGATGGGTCTGCTGGTGTTCCATCTCCACTGCTTACCTTCATACATCTTTCAAAGTCTTTTCCAACCAGGAACTCCAGAGTATAACTTATTTGCAAATGAAAATACTTCCTTATGAGAGTGTTTCTAGTTTTGTTTCTTGGGGTGAAAGTAGCTTGCCTTTTGTTTCCTCAGTTGACCTAGCTCACTTGGGAGAATCGGTCAAGGTACAAAGCTAGAAACTGAAACCTGCTTCTGGGTCTCGCAGGAGAAGCCACACCTCACGTTGTGCCTCTTGCGCATTGCTTAGCTTCAGTAGCCATGCTTCATCTATAAGGCAAATAAAAGCATAAACTGGTTGCGTGAGTAAATTGTCATAGCTGGCCTCCTGACAGGGAACAGAAATTAGCACTCCTGATAATCTGTTTTGGTGCCCTGTCATAGATTATTTTATGCCTTAGATGTGCAAGAACAAGATTTTTAACTTGCAAGCAATCTTGTTTGTTTGTATTTTATGAAAGTAAACATTCAAATTTATTTTTTTCCTAAGTTACCATGATTATTTTTGACTCCTTTGGGGTAAAGAATTGGAACACCTCTCAGCTCAGCAGTATACCTAAGATTTGTTTTTGTCTTCTTTCTGTCTATAGTGTTTTAATATGGTTAATTCTTCTGGCAAAATTTTTGTGTATACAATGTTGCCCATGCTGAAGAATTTTAAATACCACTTTGTTCCGTGAACATTCACTAGAACAGCAAAATGATAATTGCTTACTTAGTATGCTTTTTATGCTGAGATTTTAAAAACCGTATTTGCTCATTTCAAAAGAGAATTGGAAAAAATAGCTAGTCGCTATTTGCTGTAATCTCTAAGTGTGGCATTGCTGTCATCTATAAATGCTGTAATCTATAAGCGTGGAGCCTACAAAACCTGCAGGTTTTTTGGATGTGTAGCTTTTTCTTTTGTTTTGCACTTAAGGCTACTGAAACTTCAGAAGCAGGCCTCCAGTCAAAACTGAAACAGCTGGCTCGACAAGCACTGGATAGGTGAGTGCCAATGTTAGTAAACATACTTGCTGTCAGGGATAAGTGCACTCTCTGTGTTGGATTCTCAATCTAGCATGTCTCTTCGGTACTGCAGAGTACGGATTCTGGGTAGACCTAGCTCCTGGAGAGTTCTCCTGGCAGATAGCAGCCAGCATCCTTACCACTGAATGTGGTAGCTGTTGTGCCAACCCTCTGGGAATCTTGGGACATGCAGAATTGGGAAAGGCTTGTGTATTCGTTAGTACCAATGCACTACTTCAGTCTTCCAAGATATAAATCAGAGTACTATACTACAATTTTTGGCTTCTGTAAAAATGCTGAATTAAGGCCAGCACTAAGTCAGGATGTCAGCATCCCTTTGTAAGGAAGGCAGGTTGGAAACTGGGAAATGCTTATCTTGATGGTAGCAATCTAATTGTATGGGTAGATCTAATGGAATGGAGTCTATATCTGAAACAAGTTATACGAGTGTAAGTTCAATGTAACTCTCTTTTAAATCAGCTGTATGGTGGTGAATAACAGACTGTGATGGACTAAGTTTCAGTATAAGCAGGTTTTCAGCACTTCTGTCTTCAAAAAAACCCCTGTATTTTGCATATGTGTGACTATCCACTTGTCACACGTATGCTTAATGCAACAACGAAAAAAAATATGGCTGCTGAATACACAGTCTTCAAGCAGTTGAAGTGCTGGGTTGTAAGAATGCTAGTGGGTTTTTACTGCTGTTGTAGCTGCTAGACAAATCCTGAAGGTATGAGAGGCGCAAATCAATTTTCTTTGTGTCAGTGGTCTTGTTCTGAGCTTCCGGATAATGAACGCTTACACAAGTTCTCCTATTAGTGTAATTTAAAGACAACAAAAATCTGATGAGTTCTGCCAGAAGTAGCTTATATATCAATTGGAAGTACTATATTTTAATTGATTCTAGAACAGGAAAATAAAGAAGTACTGGTATCAGAAATTGATTTTTCTTAGGAAAAGCGGTGTTGGTCAACTTGGGTGTTTGTTCATTCTATTTAACATATGTGGGAACATGAACCAAGCAAGTCAATCATTGAACCATAACTATATTTTTATCATTGTTGTAAACAAAATGCATTTTTATTTGCTTTAGAGCAGAGGCACTGAAGGAATCTGTGTCAAAGTCATCTCAGAAGGAGAAGTCAACTTCAGCTAAACCAAATCAGCCTGTCAGAACATTCTTTCCATTGGGACCTGATTTTTCTTTAAACGATAAACCACAGACAATCAGAGCGGTACAAGCTAGTGAATCTCAAGGTCAGAGATACACTGCAGAGGAGATTGAAGTACTCAGGCAAGTTGAAGACAAGTTTTTGCCAAAATGTTATCATTCATGCTCACATCCTTTGTGCATCTTATGTAGTAGATTGAAACAGCTGAAGCTTATCTAAAGGACGGATGTCAGCATGATGGGGCTAGACTCTCTTCAGCGGTGCTCAGTGACAGGACAAGGGGCAATGGGCACAAACTGGAACACAGGAAGTTTCGTCTGAATATGAGGAAAACTTCTTCACTTTGAGGGTGTCAGAGCACTGGAACAGGCTGCCTAGAGAGGTTGTGGAGTCTCTTTCTCTGGAGATATTAAAAACCTGCCTGGATGTGATCCTGTGCAACCTGCTCTAGGTGATCCTGCTCTAGCAGGGGGGTTGGACTGGGTGATCTCCAGAGGTCCCTTCCAACCTCCCATTCTGTGATTCTGCGATGTGTGTAAACAGAGCGTTGGAAAACCACCTCTTACAAACCTCACTGCTAGTATTACCTACACATTAATAAATTCTTACATTCTCTACAGTAATGCAATTAATGGCTTTTATTCACAGAACATACTTTCTAGTTTGTACGTAGAAGACAATTTCTTGTAACTGACTGCCAGGATTATTTTTCATAGCCTTATTTTTGTATGTTATACATAACCTACCTGACTGGGTTCATGAAAGATCTGGCTCTGAGAAGCCAAGGTACAGAGACGTTTTTATAGATTATACAACTACTACTTCACTGGAAATTGAGGAAACATAATATTTTGTAGGACTGGGACTTCTGTTACATCCAGTTCCTTTTGCTTTGGTTTTTATTATAGGTGGAATAAGCTACAAATAATCCATATAATCTTTATTCTAAATCGTGAATTTTTAAAACTGTCAAATATATCTTAAAAAAAAAAAAAAAAAGGTGTTTAAGCCTTCCTCCTCCTCCTCCCCATACAATGAAGATTGTGACAGAGAGGATGCTCAACACTGTCCAGGATTTGATTGTAAAATATTTAGTCTGCTTGTTGACTTTAGGGGTACTTAAATGGACTGAGGATATGGTCATGAAGATAGAAATGTACATGTGTTGGAAAAGTTGCAGAGCATTAAGAATTGCCTTGTTAAAATTTAACTTTTTTCCTCTTGTAGTGCCTGTGCAGGAAATGTTTCTGGGTTTGTGGATGGTCCAGGTGTTTTTTGTGGGGGGTTGTTTTGGGGTTTTTTCAGCATTTTGTTGTTTCAGTCTTGCAAGAGAACTTCAAGTTGTTTCACATCTTTACTCATCATTTAATTTAAAAACATTTTACATACCTTTTTCAGTTAACTCCTTGTTTGAAACTTAAATTGCATTCACATTTAAACATGACTCATTTTTTTAGAAAGTATTCTGTGCGCTTTAGTCAAAGATGTACTGATAAAGGTGGAATATTTTTTGTTATTGTTTGACAAAGTATTCCAAAATACTGCCCCAATTAGATGAAATCTAGGTGTTGCTAATTGTTAATTGCTGTCAACTTATCCTAAGACTCTCTTTAATTAGAGGGTTAAGTGACGAGAAATACTGTTTAGACAAATGTGATTTTTAAATGTGACTTCTAGAACTATGAAGAGGTTTGTGACTGATAATAATTTCTGTCCTGGCATGGTGACTTGTCTTGCAGGAATGTACTTGAAGGATTAGTGACTGAGCCATCAAGTACTGCACATTTCAAACCCAAATAGATACAGTGGTTGTTTCATTTTCAAGTAGTCTTCATCTTGTTTTCAGAAGCACTGTGTCTTGTTAGTTTTTAAAAACTAATTTTGTTAGTTTCTGGAACTTACTCTTTGAAAGGTGATAGACAGGTTTGTAACTATGTTTTGGGGTTTTTTTTCTTATGACTTGCAGGAAGACTTCAAAAATTAATGGCATTGAATATGTACCTTTCATGAGTGTTGATCTGAGGGAACGTTTTGCCTTCCCTATGCCCTTTTCGTAAGTAATTCAATTACTGAACTTTACTTTTGTTTTTATTTCCAAATCTTTCCCATACTTGGTATTTCTGTGTTTTCTCTTTCAGAGTTTAAAATTGTTTAAGTAGGCCTTTAAGCATGATTCAAGCAGAGCTATTTGAATACTACCACTTCCTTCTAGTCTGATCTTAAAACTTTAATGTAAGCTGATCCTACTCTGCAGCGCTTTTGCAGTTCTGTCTTCAGGCCTCTAAGAACAACATTATATTTAGCTTTTTGAAGTGTTGGGCTGGGCTGACAGCTTGGGTCCATTTCCTGATTCTGCTGCATGTTGATGAGTTTAGCTTTCTGCCTCAGTTACCTGTAAAATGAAGGTGATAGCCATTTCGTCATAAAGGACTATTCTGAGGAAGAGTGATCCATAACTGCTAGACCTTCATTCATGAGTAATAATAATATGTTAAGATTACATAGCCATAGTAGACAAAGATGCTTTGTTTGTTTTTCAATTTTCCATTCAGTATTTTCAGAACTAAAAAAACTTTTTATTATCAGTTCATCATATTGAAATAAAGTGAAGAGTTGGAGTTTCTGCTGGTGTAGATGGCTTTTTGGAATTCCCTTCTGTTCAGTCCTGTATGAAGGAAGCTCTTGGGTTTTATTTAATGTTTGTAATATTTTTGCTTTTTTTCCCACAAAAAATCACAAACTTAGCAGCAGTGTTCTTTGAAATTGTTTTACAGCTCTGTGTACAAAGCTGTGTAATTGTTCTGCACATATTTTGCACCATCTATCAGACATATATGAGACTGGACATACCATGAAAAGCTTTTCTAAACTGCTATTGATTTATTTCTACTTTTTCTTTCTCTTAAATGTAGTGATAAATGTGGGAAGTTACCATTATCCCCCAAACAGAAAGCAATGTTTGCCAAGTGGGTGCGACCAGATGACATAACAAATAACCCTACGATGATTTATACTGTATCAAGTTTCAGCATAAAGCAGGTAAACTGTTTCTAAAGAGAAATGCGTGCTGCTAGCAGTTTATTGCTGGGGACCTCCTTGTTCAAAAAGGAATCCCCAAATGTGAGAGTGCTTTCCTTGGATCTCAGGACATTAAATAGATAAATAAAATAAATAGTATCACTTCAGATTCCCTGCATTTTCTAGCCATGAGAATAAACAGGTGTATTAGCAGTGGAAGTGAAAATCAGAATTTGAATTCCACCTGAAAATCCTGTTTTCCAGAAATAGTGGTAAAGTTAGTATGAAAAAGGGCAAGGTGTACTCTGCAGCAAATTGTTCACTTAATTTAGTGCATGAAAAAAATAATCAGTGAGATTTTTAATTTTTTATTTGATAGGAAGGAGAGTGGCCCATTGAGAATAGTGGAAATGTCTTGCTTAGTGTTAAGTTGCAGATGGCCCGCACTATTCTGAAATCAGCAATAGATTATGCCATTGGATATGGTTCATATTACACAGCATTTTGGGAAAGAGGGAGTAAGTGTGAGTAAAGGCTGAGGTTGCCTCTGATTGTCATTAATAATTCTAACTCTGGTTTGCTCTGTAGGGGTATCGTGTTGAGCAAGCATACGTTTCCTGCCTTTTTAGTAGTAACTTCGCTTCTCTTCGTTCAAATCTTTCCCTGTGAAGGGAATTTTCCTTCCCTCCACACACTATGTTTGTCTTTATCTGATGTATTAGTAAATGTCCTCACTGGTTTTCTTTTTTTCATAGACAATAGTGTCAGATTGTTCTTTTGTGGCATCGCTAGCCATCAGTGCAGCATATGAAAGAAGATATAACAAAAAGTTGATCACGAGGTAAGTAGCTGCTGCTTTCTAAGATCTTTTCAGGCTTAATACTGCCTTTGCAATACAGCTTTTGCAATATGTTCTATGACAGTTGGACACAGTAAAAACTAGCGTTCATTACACCTTCATCTCTGTGGGACTCGTGTGGCTTCAGCACTTCTGAGAGGGAAGCCAACTTTATATACATATGCATACAGACACTGGAGTCTGACTTCAGATGTGCTTTGAGGAGTAATAAATAGTTTGGAAGGTTTTATTTATTTTACTTATAATGCTTTCTGGGTTTATTTTCCTACTTTCCTTTGCCAACTGCTGTGCAACAGGTGGTCCGTCTTGCATCTCGTTGTAGAATTAATGTTAACGCAATCTCAGTTCCACTCAACTGGCGTCCTGTGATAAATTTGGCACAGGTTTGGCAGACCAGTGTGTGAATGTTGTTCTTGGATTTTATTTTTTTTTTGTTTAACCTATACTTGTTAGAACTGAACTTGTATTCTTTTCAAGAGCAGTGAGTTCTGCACTGTCTTCTCCTTCTTCAAATGTTTGATTAGTCATTCAGGCAAATACTGTATTTATACTACAGATATGTAAATACCGTGTGCTTAATAGTAAGATAAATTTGTTTGCCTCGCTTCTGTTGGAGAAACAATTAGGTTACTTATGTTCTTTTTGTTACTGTATTAAGTAGAGAACTGCAGAAAGAGCAAGGCCTAAAAAATAAAACCTAATGAAACATCACTGTCATTTTTACTAAATTTGAGTTGATTTTTCATTAAAAATTCTGTATTTAAGTTCAGTGTAAATTCTAGAAACAGACTATGTTATCTAGTCTTCTGTTGTTATCAGTGTCTGTACAGCCATTTATGTCACAATTTCCTCCTCCTCTTTTTTATTTTTTTTTAACAGTATCATTTACCCTCAGAATAAGAAAGGAGAACCAGAATATAATCCATGTGGCAAACACATGGTGAAGCTTCATATCAATGGTGTACCTAGAAAGGTAAATGGTTCTGGGGAGACTTAATACTGTTACTGTTTAAGTCATATTTTGAAGGCTTGATCTGCTTCACTGTGAAGCTATGCTTGCATAGCAAAACCTTTAGATAATGTTTTGTTGGAAAGTGTTTTTTAATTGTTAAGCCTTTTGAGATTTAAAAAATCCCTATATTGCTTAAAAGAATTACGAAAACGATACAGAAACAAAATTATGCATCCCATATTTATGAATAGGGTGTGCAAGTAATCCACTTTTCCTCTCCATCTTAGAAGGGAAGTTACAGAACTAAAAACCAGAGAAGGGGACATCCAGGAAGAATATAGACATGGAATGACCATAGCGGAATAACTCAAATGACCACAGATTTTTAGTAAGGAGAGGAGATGCTTGAAGATATTTGATAGAACATTGTAAACTCACAAACAACTTCATTTTCTTTTCAGTGCAATAAATAAGGGCATAAAATAATGTATTTCTTCATATAATACTTAACTGTAGCTCTGATTATTGCAGATCATAGCGACCGATGAATGTTTATGGGAATTCAGAAGTTGAGTGGTCATAATCACGGGAAAGGGGAGTAAGGGGAAAGTCCTCAAAGGCTATTAATTGCTAAGATATGACCTCTGAGTCAGGAAGTCCTTGAGTTGCAAAATTTCAGAATCTGAATGTTTCAGGGAATTATCATTTATGTGCTCGCCTTGCCCTTAATACTCTTTCCAAAATATCTCCTAATGACTGCCTTTTGTTAGAATGAATGGCCATTTGCTCTTCTATGAAAAGGATTCTTCATTCCTGCACAGATAGGATTTGACCAGAAAATGTGCTGTGTTGCTAACCTGTATTGCTAATGGACTAATGCCAATGTGAAACTGAAACATATATTCTGGGAAACTGTTTCAGACCACTAGAAGTACTGCAGTAACAATCTGTAATAATGCTGAATATATTCTACCTAATTTAAAGAAGAAATTATAATACTTTCACAACTGCTGCTTTGGGGGGTATTTCCTTTCCAGAGAGAAGAAATTTAAATCTGCAACTAGAGACTATGAAAGTGATGTGACACATAGTTTGTTTCCTTACAGATAAATAACTCTTTATTTTTCTGCTGGTTAACAAACACAGTCCATGCTCTGTTTCCTAATTAGGTGAGGAATATTGTTAGGCTTTTCTTTATTTTTTTATGCTGGTAATTACACTGAACTTTTCTGTGGCTACCTTTTACAATAGATATTAGACACTTTACAAGAGTGTACTATCATCATCCCCATATTACATAGGGGAAAGCAAGGCAGGTGATCACAGGCCACCCAGTAGACCAGTGCAGGTAAGACCTGGCAATACAATTTCTTGTTCATTTGGGCAAACCGCTGCAGGATTGATAAAGGTGTCCGTATGTGAGAACGATGGTCAGGCCTGACTGTGTCTGAGCAGCTGTATATTAGTAAAAGTTTGGTTTTATTTTTTAAATACTTCCAAAATACTGTATTAGCTTTATGATGATTTTTCATTTGTTTATTTCACACAGGTAATCATAGATGACCAGTTACCTGTTGATCATAGTGGGGAACTTCTCTGCTCTTATTCTAACAATAAGAATGAATTATGGGTATCACTGATAGAAAAGGCTTACATGAAGGTCATGGGAGGATATGATTTTCCTGGATCAAATTCTGTAAGTATTAGATTATTTCTAAGAGGCAAAAATTCCACTTAGATAATCTTGGGTCAAATAATTTTCCTTCTAGTGAAATCCAAGTGAATTGCTTCGGGAGGCAAGTACTGAGTTTGACATTTTTCTTAGATTTTTTCTATTTCTTTCACAAATATGCTTAGCTGTACTTAATGAGATGTATTTCCTCCAAATAGAATGAGCAATACATCTTTATGGGCAGGGTTAATCTTAGTTCTCTGACTGCAGGATTAGCGCTTATGGTTGGGAAGTATATGTGTTCATACAGAGTCTAGATGAAAGTGTTGGGTGAAGTAATAATTATTTTTTTTTTTGCCCATATCCATACTGCTGAATTTGCTTTCTAACTGTTCAATAGGGCAGTTCTCCCTCATTAGGTAGGGCAGTCAGCTAGGAAAGGAACAGGCTAGTCATTTAGTGCATATATATCTATATAGAGAGATACATGTATACCTATATGTCTGTGTGTGTATATATACTTGCAAATACTTTGATCTATGCAAGTTTGTTTATCGGATTGTCTCACTCATTTACATAAATATGTATCAGATTCCTATGATGTGGTTACTAAAGAAATAGTCATCATACTGCAGCTAAATTGACATGCAAATTATTCTTTCAAAGAGGGACAGTTTGCTGAAATGAGTAGCCCACATAATCTTCATTTGTTACTTAGGAAGCATTTCTGATTTTAATTTAAAATTCTTTAAAATTTTAACAGGATTTTTTTTTTTTAATTTCATGGTGCTGTTTGCATTTTAGTTGGTGTCTTGATAATCGCATTCTTGGAGGGTGTACTAGTAATCATCACCTTTTGGAAAATGATTATGGAGACAAATGTGGCTTTGTATAAGGGGTAAATGTAGCATACATAGGTTTTTATGTATGTTTATGTCAGTGTTGGGCTGCTTTGTTTTGGAGGACAGAAGCTGGTGAGAATAGCTGTGTCTTATTGCCATTTGTCATCCTCTAACTTACTATCTGGAAAACCAGCTTGACTTATGACATTTAATCTCCACCCTTCCTGTCACCCTTTGCTTTTGACTGTGTTATAGCTTCCTTCTGTAATCAGGGTTACGTACTGGCTTTGTTGTAGTTGTAATTCCTCAAGTTCCCACCCACCAGTGCTCGTTATTGACACTTCAAGCATTTATAGTGTCTGCTTTTTTGCTTTGAGGAGTACAAAGCAAAAGAAAAGGGAAAAAGCAATTTCAAGGAGATGAAATGGAGAGATTCAAGCATGTTTTTATGGAAATACATGTCAGTGTCAGCTTTACCAAAAAAAATAAAATACCCAAACCCTGAGCCTTAGAAGTAAAATTTAAATTATTTAAAATGCATATATAATAGCAGGTTTCCAAATAGTGCTGCTGAGACTGTGCTTCAAAAGTCTGTGAATCAACGAAATAACTAGAACACATCATAGAATTGAGCATGGTTGATCATTCCCTTATGCTTCCATTGCTCTGAAATTCCAGTTTTTCATCCATTCACTTTCCAGCTTTTTTTTTTTTTTTTTTTTTCCTGAGAGGCTATTTGGAAATGTTGTCCTAAACTAATCAAAGAAGTTTTTGTTTGGTTGGTTTTTTGTTTTTTTTTTAATATAGTCTTGAGCCTTTTATGTGTACGGCTGTATTGGAACATGTGTATACTTGATTTCTTTCAAGGCACTTTTATAATTTGTGTACAGACATCATATATCTTTATAGATGGATTATCTATTCTGATTTCTTTTGAATGCTTTCATTTCAGAATATTGATCTCCATGCACTGACTGGTTGGATACCTGAAAGAATTGCTATGCACTCTGACAATCAAGCTTTTAATAAAGATAGTACTTTCAGAATGCTTTATCAGAGGTAGAAGTTTGTTCTTTCTTACGTAATTAAAATGCTTGCTGTGTAGTAGCTACGTTACCGCTGTAATAGCAGTACAGTCACCACAGATCCTTTGATGGTATTTTGGTACTACTATAAATTGGGCTTTATAAAACCTCCGTATGCTTTCCGGAAGAAGAAAAATTGAGGTATTGGTGGTTTTGATAAAACAGGAAAGTAAAATATTGTGGAATTTTGTTTGAGGTGATTTTTCTTCTTCACATTTGAAGAAAAAAAAAAAACGTCCATTTCTTTATGAAGAAAATAGAATTTAGAGTCAGAGAAGTGCAGTTTGGAACCAATATACAAGTTAAAAGTGATTAAAAATAGAAGGAAATGTGTTCTGTGTTCCCACACAGTTCCCCAGAATTTTGGCATTATCTGCTGTCTTTAGCAAGCAGATATGATACAGTTTTTCTAATCACATCACAAGACCTTGGTGGTTATGCCCCAAGTAAATCTGGAGGATTAGGAAAAGTCTATCAGAACTACAGTGTTGATCTTCAGACCTACCATAACAATTCTCCTTATGATGAAAGATACAGCTGTAACTTACAAATGCTAGCTAGCAAGTACTTTATTTCTTTCAAAACCATTTTGTGCAACCAGTTTCTTATGCAGTAGAAGGGGTATATTCTGTTGACTGAAATATCTGCATTCATGATGAAAGAGCGTAACTCTAGAAAGAGTGCTTTATCAGTAGGTTAGGAGCTCTCAGTTGGTTGTCAACAACTTTTTAGATATTCTGGCATTGCAATTTGGAGGTGTGACTGCAGTTAGGATGGGATCTAGCTATTCTAACATCACTATTGTTCACCTGTGCTAGACTGAAAAATGTGTTGATGCAAACTGCCTGGGTGACCCCGTAAACTGTCTAGGGACGCTGAGTATGTACTTGGATTTTAGCACGGGCTGGGAAACATGCTGGTATGTCTTCACAACAATAATTGTTGCAAAATTAACCATTGCAATTAAAAACAATTGCAGAACTCAGTTGTGAGTCGACAGTTCAGATCCCCGGCTTATGCCGGGGGACACAAAATTTTGGTGTAAACACCTGCAAAAGTATAGAGGCATGAACTTCTCATTCTTCGTGTTTTGGGAAGCTCCTGCAGAATCCTGGGAGTGTGACAGAGTTGTTATTTTCCTATATGCAGTGATTGGCTAAGTGTTGATGAAACCACATTTGTGTTCAGCTGAAGATCTGTGAAGAGTATCTTTAATAAGTGACACAGATTGAACTTCAGGTTGATAAATGCTGATTTCTATTTTATAATGAAAATAATTTTTCACTTAAAACCTATACTTAAATACCGAAAGAAAATAGTTCCACTTTCTCAAGCTTTTTCAGGAGTGATCGCTGCTTACAAAAAAAAATGCATTCCATTTTTTATCAAGCAGGGTCACGCTAAAGGGCAGTGTGAAAACATACTATTCCAGTGTCTGGCAAATGTTAGTTTGCAACTTGCAAAATTTCAATTTTTTTTTTCCTCACCTTTTTTGGAACAGATTTCACAAGGGAGATGTCCTTATCACAACAGCAACAGGGGTGATGTCTGAAGAGGAAGGAGAAAAATGGGGTTTAGTTCCAACACATGCGTATGCAGTCTTGGATATAAGAGAATATAAGGTATCAAGTAAAACCGATGATGTTTTCGGGTGCCTGTTTGTGATGGTAGCTACTGATTTTTATTTTTTTTTCTCTAATGGCTTACGTAGTTCATTTTGTCTTGAGCTCCATTGGGAAATTCCAGAAAACTTAATGGTGCTGTATTTTCTTGAGCTGTTGGTCCATATTCCATGTTAATATAAATGTAAAAATTACCTTGATGAGATATGTTATTTTGTAAATTATTGTCAGCAATTTTATTTTGTATTTCTTTAGGGACTTCGATTTCTTCAGTTAAAAAATCCCTGGAGCCACTTACGTTGGAAGGGACGATACAGTGAAAATGACACAAGAAATTGGACCCCAGATTTACAAAAATACTTGAACTTTGATCCCAGAACAGCTCAGAAAATAGACAATGGTAATAAGATTTTAAAAGTCACTGTCTTTTCAGATAATGTAGACTTTTGTGGTGTATTCCTGCAGGAAGGCAGAAGGAAATACTTAAGCAGAGAGGGGGAGTAAAACAAATACTAGAAACTAAATAGTCCAAAAGTTTAGGATGTATTTGTGTATTTAAAACTGTCATTTTGGGTTTCTCTGGGATTTAAGTAATCTGTGCTGTTTAATATATCTCAGTCATTGACAAAGAGTTACCTCTTTGCTTAAGTGTTGCTATCTCACTATCTGGGCGTGGGGGAGTTCAGTGCAAAGATAACATTCTGACAGTGAGCTGTGTAATGCTCCTTACGAACAGACTTTTTGTGGGTTTTTTCCCTCCAACATTTGCAAATACCTATCAACATACTTACTGCAATCAGCATTTAAATTTGTCTTGCCTATATTTGAGGTTATGCACCAGAGGTAACTGTGTGGTGGTGTTTGTCGTGGTTTTTTTCCCTTGCATTACATTAATATATTTGTAAACAAATCTTTACATACATTCTGTTTCCAGCTGTAAGAGTAGATTGAGAGTTATCTTTGAGACAACGCACTACTATGTCACTGTTCAGAGAAACCACTTGGAATGGTTGTCCTGTC